GGGGCGTTGTTAGCACCAGGCAACCTTTCATCAGCGAAGGGAGTGGATCCTTTAGAGCTGGATTTGAGCCAGTCCCAACCAGCAGAATATATAATCACCCTGGATGCTGGGGACCAAGGAATATTTCCACTCTGGCACGAGAATCGGATAAGCTTTATTTCTTGCTGTCGTTCTTGGCACTGACTATGTCTTGACATTGTATAACATGTCTTGAATGTTCCTGCTGGCTTTCTCAACAAATAGTTTGTTCAGTGAATTAAGAGTGTGACTAAAGACAAGGTCACTAAGTTCATTTCCAGTCAGCCAGTTAGTTTCAGTCGTGTTGCCTGTTATCAATGGACTGTTACATGGCCATATATGGACTTCATACATCCCTTACCCACTCTGAGTTGTGACTTAGGCTAGTGGTTTCTCAGCCACTTGACTGACTGTCACTTCCCGTGGGTCACTTATAAAATGCTCTATTTTGGTGTTGGGTGAGGAAGTCTCTCTTTTTTTAATTTTTGGTTTTTCTGGGGGTTTTTTTGGAGGAGGGAGGTAATTAGGTTTATTTATTTATTTATTAGTATTATTTATTTAACGGAGGTACTGGGGATCGAACCCAGGACCTGGTACGTGCTAAGCATGTGCTTGACCACTGAGCTATATCCTCTCCACTGAGGAAGCCTTAATGTGGTTGGTGACCAAGTACTTAAGTTGAAGCCACAAATGGAAGGGAATAGTTTTTGCTTTTTTTTTTTTGGCATGGAAGCGTCACCTAATTCTGTTTTAGAAGAACAATGCTCCCCAAATCATCCATCCATCTGTCCATCCGTTCATGCAGCAAATATTTGTTGACTGAGAGAGTCACTTCACTTACTCAGACTCCTTGCTCTCCACTTGATCAGACTCCTGCAGCTACACCCATAATGCCACATTTTTGGGAAATATACACGCAGCTTCTTAAGTAGTAACTACCAGGCAGACACCTCTGAGGGTCTCAAGTATGACTTATTCCGTCCGTTGTTAATATCAGTAACATCAAGCCTCGACCTGTGTTGTGGTGTCAGTAAGAGTAAGGACTCTAGGATCAAACAGTCCTGGGTTCAAATATAGGTTCTGCCTCGTACTGGCTGTGTGATCTTGGTGAGTTTACTTAACCTCTCTGAATCTTAGTTTATGCCTCTGTAAACAGGATAATAGTACCCATTATATAGAGCTATTATGAGGATTTTTATGAAATAATATTTGTAAAGCATTTATCTAATGCTCACTGGTACTCTACTTATTTTTTTTAACATTTTTTATTGATTTATAATCATTTTACAATGTGTCAAATTCCAGTGTTCAGCACAATTTTTCAGTCATTCATGGACATATACACACTCATTGTGACATTTTTTTCTCCATGAGTTATCATAACATTTTGTGTATATTTCCCTGTGCTATACAGTGTAATCTTGTTTATCTATTCTACAATTTTGAAATCCCAATCTATCCCTTCCCACCCTCCACCCCCCTGGCAACCACAAGTCTGTATTCTCTGTCTGTGAGTCTATTTCTGTCCTGTATTTATGCTTTGTTTTTGTTTGTTTGTTTGACTGGTACTCTACTTATGACATAAAAATATTATTTTTTAATGTCTGGCCTCTGAACAGATGATTTTTATGCCGCTGCAAAATGTATCCCCATTGTAACTATTTGCCTTGGTAAGTGGATTGTGGCACAATCCCATCTTTGAACAAATATGACTTCGAACAAGACCTTCCTTATTTGAGTACCAGATTGTTTCCAAGTTTGTTTAAGAGCCTTAAATATAAAAGTAACTAATGCAACTTGACTATAATACAGTAGTTGGAATTCAAGTGTCAGTGTCATCTTTTTAATATAGGAATATGATTGAATTTTAGCTCTCTTTTCTTTTAAGATTGGTAGTTGTTTAGGGCTTGGGCAGCTCAGTTCTGCAATGACTGGCCACTCTTAACAAGTATCAGGACCATATTCAGTTGGTCCCATAAGAGAGAAGGTCCAAAGTTCCCCAGGGTGTTGACAGAGGACAGGATGTATGCTTGGTCCATCTGCTGCTGTCGTACTGACTGAGACTGGCCCATCAGACTCACTCATCCTTCTCCATAAAACCTTTACATCCCAGAGACCCACCCTATCCCTGTCCACTGGGCCAGGAGAGGGCTGGGGTCCATTAGAGCTTGCGTGCTTTAAATAAAGCTCTGCTCATCTGGAGGGAAAGAATTCTTCGGGCTCTGTTCCTGGAATTAGGTGGTCAGTCTTCAACTGGATCAAGTCATGCTTCATATTTCTCCTTTTATTCCTCTTCTTCATTACTATTGGCTTCTGTCTCCCTGTGCAATTTTTTTTTTTTTACTTTCTACCTTATAATCAGATTGTTTTCAAATCTTCCTCACACTGGTCAGGAGTTTCTTGAGGACACAGCCTTTACTTTGTTTATCTCTTCAGCCCCTCAGAGTGCCTAGTATGGGCCCAGTGTAGAGCAGGCTTTTGGCAACGGTCGCTGAATTAAGCTGAATCGTTACTGTTCAAAAATCCTTTAGTAGCGCTGCCTCCTAAAGCAGCTTGCCGCACCACAGACAAAATTGCTCAGCATCAAATGCTTGCCCTCTGGATCTTGCGTTATACAAATAGCTGTACTCCCTATGGACGGGTAGCCAAGTGAAATTTATGAAATGAATCCTTATTCCATGCATTTACACCATCTTCTGGGAGACACTAACACCAATGGTGACTCTTGTCCTATTTTATTTTGTCATCTTTCCCCATCTCTCTACCTCTTCCTCTCCTCCGCAGTGTAAAAGTTGGTAATTCGTTCACCTGTGATATTTACCAGTCATCTACAATGGACAGGAGTATTTTCAGATCATTAATTTACAACTCTTACCACAAATATTTAAATGCAGCACAGGAATGTTATTTAAGGGAATCCTACTGCAAAGACAAGCATCGCTTTTATTTATTTATTTTTTATTGAGTTATGGTCAGTTTACAATGTTGTGTCAATTTCTGGTGTACAGCACAGTTTTTCAGTCATACATGAATATACATCTATTCGTTTTCATATTCTTTTTCACCGTGAGCTATACTACAAGATCTTGAATGTATTTCCCTGTGCTATATAGTATAAACTTGTTTATCTATCCTATATATACTTGTCAGTATCTATAAATCTCGAACTCCCAGTCTGTCCCTACCCATCCCCCTCCCCCCGGCAACCACAAGTTTGTATTCTATGTCTGTGAGTCTGTTTCTGTTTTATATTTAAGTTCATTTATCATCTTTCTTTCTTTTTTTTTTTTAGATTCCACATATGAGTGAACTCATATGGTATTCTTCTTTCTCTTTCTGGCTTACTTCACTTAGAATGACAATCTCCAGGGACATCCATGTTGCTGCAAATGGCATTATGTTGTCATTTTTATGGCTGAATAGTATTCCATTGTATAAATATACCATAACTTCTTTATCCAGTCATCTGTTGATGGAGATTTAGATTCTTTCCATGATTTGGCTATTGTAAATAGTGCTTCTATGAACATTGAGGGGCAGGTGTCTTTTTAAATTAGGGTTCCTTGTGGATATATGCCCAGGAGTGGGATTGCTGGGTCATATGGTAAGTCTATTTCTAGTCTTTTGAGGAATCTCCATACTGTTTTCAACAATGGCTGCACCAAACTGCATTCAAGCATTGCTTTTGATTGAGTTCGTTTTAGTCCAGCTTTGGTTTTGTCTGGGTTTTCTTTCACCAAATCCCTAGCTGGACTGCATCAAACCTCTTGGGTATATTTGCAACCTTGACCTTACCATCTCAGTGTTTACAAGCTGTCATGGCAATGCTTAAGCCGACCACCAAAAATGTGTGTAGATCTGAAATGGGAGTGAATAGCCAGAGCAGGGAACAGTCAGCTCAGATCTTAGTAGACAAGCTCATCCACCGCATAGGCTTCTGATCGTAGATTTCAGTCCTATGCCCTCTCTCTAGTCTGTGGCCCAATAACATAAATTACGAGATCACTGCCCTGAGTAACATCTCTATTTACAGACAGATTTTCTATAAGGTTACTTCTAAAGCAAGAATCCCTAGTGTTTTTAAGATAGGATTTAGGGCTCAATCATTCCCAAGTTGATCCTCTGTATAGGTGCTATGGTAGGTACAAAAATTGAACAAAAAAGGTGTCTCCACCAGCAGCAGAAAGTTACAATATGGTGCTACGATATGAGGGTTGGGAGCAGTGGTGGGATGGGATAATGATCGTGTGGCATGGGATAGTGATTGTGTGTGATGCTCCCCTCAGCATCATAGCCCAGGAAGAGTTCATTTCGAAAACTTGATTGCTTATAGGCCACCATCTCTTCTTGGAAAGAATCAGATGGAGGGAATAAAGTACACAGCCTTTGCCACCATTTATCAAGTTCAGGTGTTCCCTCCCAGGGCCAGGAAAATCACAACAAGCCCATGGTGACTAAATACCGATATCAAAATACCACTGACTGGTATTAAACGTGAACTGGGAATGATCACACAAAGGGTGACTTTTTAAAGCAGACCACAGATACAGTGCTGCAATTCTTAGATCCACTGCCTTGTGCCCAGCTCCTCCCGTGATACCAGTCGCTTTCTGTTTTGGGGAGTGCGAAAGGGGACCATTAGTACAGGGCAGAAAGAGCCATAGCTTTTAACAAGCCCCAGCTGGGGGCACAGGAGCCTAACACAACATTGCTCTCACCTGCAATGCTCTTCCCATATGCCTTCTGCATCTCTATACCCTCCCTAGCTTTCAAGACCTACCCCATGTCCTACCTTCTCCACGAATAAGTCTCTGACCCCACCAGCCCCTAGCATCACCCGTTTGCTGACCTACGATGGTCTGGACTTGGTCCCACTCAGCTGGCTTATTTCATATACTTGTGGAATTAAGTCCTTATTGAGTATATGAAGCATTTCCCCACCTTCATTGAAGGGTGCTTAAAGGAAGGATGGCATCTTGTACTTCTCCAGTTCTCTTATGGGACCTCTAGTATAGTGAGGTATACGGGGTGATAAAACACCTGTTCAGTCATTGTGTGCAAAGGAAAGGCTCCAGGGGGTGAGTTCAGAGAATGAGGAAAAGGAATTTAAATGTACTGAATACTGGACACCATATTTTAAAGACTTTATTTTATTCAACTCTATATTAATGCTTTGTGATACATACCACTGTCTCTGGTAGAGATAGTTTCTTTGTTTCTGAGGCCCTAAAAATGGAGTAACTCACCTAATTCCGCACACATCGTGAGTGGTGGAGCAGAGTCCCCCCCACATCCCGTTTCCTAGTTATGTTCCATTCCTGCCACGAGTAATTGGATTTCTGATTCCAAGCCAGATCCACAGTTAAGTCTGGTTCCAAAAGGCAGTCCTGTAGAACATCCACTGTTTTTCTTGAGTGTGTATTTTGGGAAATGTAAGGTCAATAAGTAGATCTAAAAAAGATGAGATTGCCAAGTTTCAAAAGGGCAGGAACAGTCCTTGGCCTCACACCAGGAAGTGACAGACCAGTTCATGGAGCGGGAGGAGGGGAGGTGGTGCCTCGTGGACAGAAAACTGACCCAGAACAGATATAAAAACAGACGCGCTGAGGAGTGGAGCCACTATCAGGGGAAGACTCACTCCCAGGGTCTGTAGGAGACAGCACGGTCCCCCACCAACATGAAGCTGCTGTTGTTGTGTCTGGGGCTGACTCTAGTCTCTGCCCAGATAGAAAGAAACGATGTTGTGAAAAGCAACTTTGACATTTCAAAGGTAGGGTCAGTGGAGCATAGTGACTTCTGACTTTGTTGGGGGTGGTCTGGAGGATTCTGAAGCAAGGTGGCCCTACTGGAGGGCAGGAGTGCCTTGACATATTAAACAGAAGGGGTGGCTGAAGACCTGGGACTAAGAGCAATCGTGCCATGTTGAAAGATGACAACACTTGGGGACCTCCATTCTCATTGGAAGGACAGTGAAGAGGGTCCCAGGTGTGGTTGCCAGTTGACCTGAGTTCTAATTTCATCTTCTTATCACTGTTAGAAGTCCTGGTCCACAGGCCAGAGTTCAAGGAGCCAAGTGTTCATGTTGTATTCCTCTCTCCTTTTCTCACGCAATCATTTTATTGATTTATTGCAGATTTCAGAGGACTGGTACTCCATTCTGTTGGCCTCAGACTTCAAGGAAAAGATAGAAGAAAATGGTAGCTTTAGAGTCTTCCTGGAGCACATCCATGCCTTTGACAACTCTTCTCTGTCCTTGAAATTTCATACAAAGTAAATGTGGGGTTTTTTGCTTGGGAAAGGGAAAACAGAAGCCTGAGTAGGGTCTTGGACCTTTACACACACACACACACACACACACACACACAAACACACAAACACACACACACGTAAACACAGATTCTCAGCCTCTATCCAAAATGAGTGCATTATCTGGCCCTGACTAGAGCTTGTTAACCTATAGCTTTTCTAGATTCAGAGGTAAGAATTGGAGGCAGGAGTATATTTAAATGGGAAGAGAGGGGGTAAGGGGTCGAGAGGTATCAGAATCCTAAGTCATGTGGCAATACAGCACAGGGCTTGGAATCAATGACCTAGCTCACTCTTAAATCTATCTCCTACTAGTTCTATGACCAAGAAAAATCATCTCTTTCTACCTCAATTTTCCCTTGGGTAAAAGAAGATGATAACAATTCTCTCTCATGGTTTTATGGTGAGGACCAAGTGAAGTAATGTTTGTCAGGCACGTAGCTGAGAGGCTGGCACGTGGTGAGAACTCAGCTAATTATCTAGACAAATCGCTGTAGGAATAGTAGTGGGGGAAATAGTGGTAGAGTAACAGTGACAGAGGTAGTTGACTTATTCTCAAAGTACCAAATAAAGTGAAATAATGTAGATAAAAGTGCTTTGGAAAAACTTCCCCAAAATGTTCAACAGTTAATCAGTGAAATTAGAAACTCAACTTATAGGTAGAGTATGAGGCAGCTCGTCCCATCAGTATCCCTTGAGCAGCAGCTCATTCTGTTTTACAGGGTAAATGGAGAGTGTATTGAAATTTCTTTGATTTGTGTCAAAGCAGAAGAGGATGGTGTATATACAGTTACCTATAAGTATGCCAAAAAAAAAAGCCTTTCTAAATTCTACTTCCAACTGCAAGGAATTTGCTAAACCCCAGTATCTTCAGAAGCTTTATGAATTCCTGATCAGTGCTTATTTCAGTAATAGAATGGGGTCATCTAATAGCCAATGTCCTGAGTTTGGGAGAAATTTGTGCATAAAAGCCAATGTCTGGCACATAATTCCCTGAGATGAAGAAGACAGATAGGCCATATGTATCTCCTACAACAAAAGAAAATTGGCACAAAAAAAAAAAAGAGAGAAAGAAGAAGAAAGAAATTAAGTAAATTGGCAGGACAGCTTCTCATTTCCTGCCCACTTCCTGGTGATATCTGGTGGCCACTGCCCCAGCACATTACTGAGAATATAACTGGGTATATGATGCCAATGGGGCTCACAGAGAGGACAGCCACATGGTGGGCAGAGACGGCCGAGGGAGGAAGGTGAGTCTCAGGGAGGAGGAGGGAGGGGAAGTTGCCACTGAGGCTGAATTTTTCTACCACTAGTCAATCCTCAGAAGCTGCTTCATGGAGCCCAGAGAGATGCAAATGGAAGACAGTAGATATCACTCTCTATCTCTTCCAGGCTATGCACTTGAGTTTGTTTTCGTGAGACAGAACAGGTAAAGGGTTTCACTTGCTTTCTGTGGTCCAGAGAAGTTCTGAGCTATGTTCTGTTTCCTCTACAGATGATGGATACAATAAATTTTGCATCCTTGAAGTGGACTATGATAAGTATATTATTTTTTATGTCGTGAATGTCAGCAATGATGGAAAATTCCAGCTGCTGCTACTCAGTGGTACAGTGTTTTCATGCTGACGTTTATCTTGGGGGCGGGGAGACCAGGGAAGGAAGGATGCCTGGAGGCAGCGTGGGCTTCCCAAACTTATCCTGGGACATCTCTCGTCCTCTGAAGACAGACGCTCTCACCTTTGGTAAAAATCCCTCAGGCTCAGTGATGGGAAGACAATGACTCTCTCATCGTGCCAGAAAGGTAGCGTAAAGATGTCAAATCAAGGCAGGTTATATTCCATCCCCAGGACTTCTGCCTGAGCCCCAGTCAGTGCCATCCATTTCCCCGTCCGTCTGGAGTCCCACCCCTCAGTGAGCCTCAATGGCCAATAAACACAACACAGCAGTTACTGTCACTCTTCCCACAGCCCGAGAACCAGATGTGACTACAAAGCTTAAGAGAAAGTTTGCGAGAATTTGCCAAAAATATGGAATTGTTGAGGAACATATAGTTGACCTGACCAAAGTCGGTAAGTTGAGTGATCTCTGGCTTTCTCTGCCGAAATTCCCATCTTACCGAGGGAATGTTACTGATGGGAGGAATCCAAGAGGAGGTAATATCCCCAGTCAGTCCTCTTTGTCCTAACCTGGAGAATCATCTGGCTTCATTCTGGGAAACAAACTGGGGTTGGTGTTTGAATGTGTCCTTCTCTGTCTCTGCAGATCGCTGTCTCCAGGCCCGAGAGAGTGCAGCTGACCAGGCCTCCAGGTTGGTGATCTCTGGTGGGGGGGGGGTAGGTAACCCAGGGAGCAGTGCCTTCTAGAAGCATTGGGGGTTAATGTCCAAACATGACAATACAAATAATTTGGTAAGGAAGCTTGTTGGGAGAGCTTGAAATTGGGAGTTGGAGGACCAGGGTTCAGGATCCAACTCCTACTATGAACTTTTGAGCATACGATGGAGCAATTAAAAGGCAAAAATAATGTCTACCTTACAGAGATACTGTGTGGATATAATGCTGGAGAAAAGGGCAATTCAGTCATTGATAATGTGCTAAAACCCATTAAGACCAAGTTTTAAATGGGAAAAGGGTATGAGTATGAAACTCAAATATATTTCTATGTCTGTGGTCCATCTTTCAAGCCCAGAAGGCCATCTCACCCTCCAATTTATGGAGAAAATTTCTTCCTTTGATCGCTACACATCCTTAACTTCCAGTCTGGGAAGAGAGCTGTCCGACCTTGCAGTTGTCTTCCAGTCTGGAAAATAGACTCTTGATTTTCCTCACCTGTTTCCTACCTCAGATTATTCGTGGGGCTTCATTCAGATAATATATGTGAAAGTCTTAGCAATTACGGCTTACATACAGTAAGCACTGAACGAAAGACAGCTGTGGCTTTTGTCATTATTCCTCAATTTACCAAAAATTCTTTAAAACTTCCAGTGCTGAAGGTGGCAGAACAAGCCTAGGGTCCTTCATCGCTGCCTTTCTGATTATTTTCGTAGACTCAGTCGGGGGAAGGTTAAGATGGGAATCAGCAATAGCAAAAAAAAAAGTCATTTACTTAACACCCTCCCTCCCCCTATTCTGGCAAATAGTAGGGGTTAGTATGCAGGTTGATAATGATTTCTTCAACATTTCTTTTTGGTAATAGAAATTCTCTTTGTCCTCAGCTCAGTCTGAGACGCCCTTAATCAGTTTCCATGTTCTCTCTCTCATCTGCCGATTTAGCGCCTAGTGAATGACTTCTCACTTGGGCTCCAGGAGCTTCTCTTCCATGGGTCCCACGTTGTCCTGTGGCAAGTTCTGTGACCTGATTTCCATCCCTGTCGCACATGAAGACATTATCTTCAGGATTTTCCCTAATCATCCGGGAAGACTCATTAGCTCACCAAGAATCAAAGGTTTTTCTCCAAATTTCTGGCTTTCTTTATCGTACCCAGGACAATGCTACTGTGAATGAGACTGTCCTCCACCTGATCAATAAATGATTCACCTTACAGTCTTGTGATTTGTCTTCTGTTGTAAGAGATGTGAGGCTGACAGGAAGTGAGGGAACTTCCTCGGCCCTGTACCCATAAACTTCCTGTAGCTTCTCAGAATCTTCCCTGAGTTTCAGGATTCCCCCTTCTCTGCAGTAATTCTCTGTCCCCATGTGCGGCTTGCCTTTTGAGCTGCCCATTTCTTAGTGACCTGGTAAGACAAACGATAAGACTTGCCCTATGAATTGCTCCATCCTAGAATTCTCTTCTTCAGTGGGGTATGAGGGAGCGATGCTGCTGGGGCTGACTCCAGCTTGACATGTTTCATGCCCTTGCTTCTCTGTCTCATCCATCCCCTGAGCTGGTCAACGTCCTTTTCACTCTTGGAAAACCACTTTCAACCATACTGTTATCTACTGTAAACATATTAAGTGAGATTTCATGAAATATGAGCAATACTTATATCCAGCAATCTACTCAGGACAGTCAGGAGGCATCAGGGAGGCTAACTGTTATTAACCTTTTCTTTGGGGAGCTCACAGAAGAAGATCTTTAATTTCCCTTTCAATACAAGGGAGGGCCACACTGATGACAGGAGATGATGGCTGGATAGTGCCATGTGTTTGGGAGCTACAGCCAAGCGGAGGCACAGAAAGACCCTCAGGGGTTCCCAGGACAAGATGGCAGCATGAGCTCACACTGAAACCTACCCCTCAACTCCAAACATTTTATGCAAATGAGGCATGAAATTGTTGAGGACACTTGAAAGCAAGAAGTGAAGATGTCTGTGGGTCAGGAACAGAGCAGTCCTTAAAAAAAAAAAAAAAGGAAAGAAAGAAAAGGAAGAAAACAGATGGGAGTGATGTGAGCAAACAGGCCAGAGGAGATCCTCCCCCAAACCTGCAGTAGTTTCTTCCGAACATGCTCTTACTGAGACATCCGTGGTTCCCCACCGTAAGCATTCTTCCTAGCTGCAATAATAAACCCAATCTGTTCAACTGCAGGTATGTTCCTGGTCTTTGGCCAAAGAGCATTAACCAGGCCCACTTTATGCATGTGCCACCTGGAGTTCTGGGAAGCTAAGTTACAAATGCAAGACCCGGTTTAATGCTGTGCACACAGGATGCCGCCAAGGCTTTTGGCCTGAGAAACTGGAAGGATGGAATTGCCATTTACTCCAGTTAGCTGAGGGAGCGAGTTCAGTGGGAGAAGGATAGAATATCTGAGTGTTAGACATTTCGTTAGTTTACCTAGCTTGGCTACTACTGAGAAAGAGACCTAGCTATAATCCAGTATGATTTACTAAAGATTGAATTAATCTGATGTGGGCTTTCCAATTTGGCTGACAACTCTGTTCCCTTTAGTCATTTAGGAATTCAGTTCCTTCTATCTCATTTCTCTACCACCCGAGGACATTGTCCTCATCTGTGTGGTTAAAGCTGAAGTGTAAGAAGTAATAAGGGAAAAGACAATGTGGTGGGAGCAGGTCTTATACCCACTGTCCTCTGTGGCCCCAGCTCTGGGAGGTTCTCCCTTGTCCATCACTGTCCATGGCCACTTCCTGCTTACACAGGCCTGGAGAGATTGTTTTGAGGGTTAGAGAATCACTGTTTTTGCTATAGGCCAGACCTAAATTTCTTTTGGCAACACAAATTCCGCAAAAACTTAGTAAACTTCTAATGTATTTGCCTCTTGATTTCTTTATTTGCAGATAACCAGACCCCCCAGATCTTATCTAGACTTAGATTTAAGCCTGGAAACTCAGGTCTTTTCTAGATTGACCTCTATGCCCTGCCCACTCCATCTCCTTCCTTTAATTTAACAGTGGCTAATTTGAGGCCATCTAAAGCCACAGACTTGGATGGGTTATTTTCTGGGGGGGGAAGGGCCTTTAATCTAGCCTTTGCTAGCAGGCTCTTCACCTTTCATGCAGCAACACCATTTCTGCTAAAGCCAGACTTCCACTCCACGGGCACTACTTACAACTGCTTCACTTTGGGATAGAGAAGCAGCGACCCTTAGTCAGCTTAAAGGGATGCTTCAGGCAGAAGAGGGTCTCTTTTAGCAAAGTTGTGCCACCTTCTCTCTCTCCTTGCAGCCTGGCTGGCTCTAGCCTGAGTCCCTCTCTCTTGTAAGTTTTTCTGAAAGCACAAGAAGTCACGGACACATTAACAATATTCCAACACCCCAAATCTTTTCTATTTATTTCCCTAGCTCTACAGCCTTTGTCAGCACATGGTCTGTTTTCCAAGGTACAGCAGGCAACCATTTGACCAAATATTTTACCAACAGGTAGAGTTACCAGCTTTCCAAGCTGTGACAGTTGAATCCTCGGTGTCCAACATTGACCTTCCTCCAGTAAACTGGCTGCATGTTTCAGGTTCTATCGATTGCCTTAGCTAGTGAGTTTCCACCACAACCCATATTTCTGTAACCAGCCTTGGCTAATAAAAAACCATGATAAAGCCAGCCATTGTACTTGTTAATAAAGACTTAACGTCAGTTAGAGGGCCAATGAAATGCGGAATAATTTATGTCTTAAAAAGATCAAAGCCTGGGGATGTTTGCTGGCTAGTTTCCTGTAAAGATATGAAGAAGAAAAAAAATCTCAATCCAAGTTGGGGTGCGTGACCCTTCATATTCTGTGCATCCACCCTGTTAATGTAAAAATATCCTTGTTTATCTAATTTGCTTTGAATGTTCTCATTGACATAGAAACGTCCAGACTTTAAACACTCATTATTTTTTCCTGGGCATGTAACATTTAGTCTTAAAGCCACAGACAGTAATTGCTTTTCTTTGGGAAGTATGTGCCTCCAGTGGCTGTGATGCCCCTAGGAAAGAAATGAGTGCATTTTTTAAAAAACATTTTTTTAATTGAAGTATAGCTGACTTACAATGGATTAGTTTCTAGTGTTCTGCATAGTGGTTCAGTTATATACGTATATATATTCACTTTCATATTCTTTTTCATTACAGGTTACTATAAGCCATTGAATATAGTTCCCTGTGCTATAGAGTAGGACCTTGCTGTTTATTCTGAGTGCATTTTTAAAGGAGAGTGTATTAAGACTCTCCAACTATCTCCATTTGTACCTGATTGCACCAAATCAATGCCACTGATTTAATAACAGATTTCATTATCAGCAACATAAATGTGAATTTTCTTCAAGTTAAAAGGGAATGTACCAGATCTATATGAGCATTGTTAGATCTCAAAAGCAAATTGTAAAAATCTTGTAGTTCACGGTGAAAATGAATGTGACAATGAATATATGTATGTTCACATATGACTGAAAAGTTGTGCTCGACACTGGAAATTGACACAAAATTGTAAACTGACTATAACTCAATAAAATAAAATTTAAAAAAATTTTTTAAAAAAGCAAACTGTAAGATGAAAAGAGCTGCTGAATAATATGTGCAGAATGACACCATTTCTATAGCTTTTAAGTAACACACAGAGCAATGCAATGCTTTATTTATGGATTCCTGCATGTATGATAACGCAGGGCTTCCGGTAACGTGCATACGAACCACCTGGGGGTCTGGTGAAACGGGGGGCGGGGGCTCTGAGTTGGCAGGTCGGGGGCGGGGCCGAGGGCCCGCCTTCCAACCAGCTCCCGGAGACGCCCGTGCTCCGCCATCTTGGGACGGGGGTGACGCAGGTAAAGTGAAACCGTCCTTATCTTCTTCCATTGTTTTGCTCCATCTGCGTGCTGGAACCTTTCCGCTGGACTTCCGGACTTTCCTAAAGGTTCTCAAGTCCTTGAGCGGTTGTTAAAATAGGTGTGTCTGTGGGGCTGTGAGGATTAACACCTCCTAACCCACCGTCTTGCTGATGTCAACCCGAATCAGTGATCATTTCGCCTAAAAGACTCACAGACACAAAGACGCTGAGTTTTCAAAGCTTTTTTTTTTTCTAGAATATCTGCTGAAATCAGGGGTCAAATGAAAACTATGGTGGAGTTGTTACCGACGTGGGTCCCTGGACTCTTTATTCAATAGAAATGATTGGAGGCCAGACGAGGAATTCAGGCAAGGCTTTACTGGGACTCGTGCTGCGACACAAGGGAGCGAGAACAAGAAACAGGTGCCGTTGCTTGAGCCTGAGTCAGGGGTGAGCTGGTTCCTTAAATGGGGCGAGGGCAGGGGCGGGTCGGTGGGTCGGGCTGGAGGGGTGGCTTCGGTGGCCTGGCCACCCCCCTGGTGGTGCTGTGTGCACCTGCTTTTGCTCTCAGAAATGGCAATTGGTCGGGGCCTTTTTGTCTCTTATTGTTCATAATTGCCCGAGACGGTGCATGCTTGCAGCTAAGTTTAGTCCCTTATCGTTTCTTTGTATTCGTTGCTGAAGGAGATGTTTGTCCAGGTGCAAGCACTCAGGTAAGAGGTCCCGGGTCCCAGCCTATCTCAGAATCAGCCATTAGTGGGAGCGCTACTGCTTCTCGGTACATTTTGTTCAGAGATGGAGGGCCAACCTCACAACCAAATCCCAGCGGGGATTTTCCATCATGATATTTAAGTCCTAAACTCTGTTTTTATTAGTTCCTTAGCACCGTACTACCACCTCACTGCCCGTCAACACATTCTTAGGGCCTGAAAGCAAACTGAGTTAAAGGAAGAGAAATAAGTCTACTGCCAGGAGCACCACAGAATAATATTGCAAATGCAGGTGAGGTAGGATTACGCAGTAGATCACACACGCCACACTCCCTTGCAAGAGCTGAAAATTTATGTTAGAAAACTCAAGTGGTGTATCAGCAACACAGCTAGGGAGCTCTATTCTTGGCACCCAGCTGGACAGGAGAAATGGGTCCTATATTAGTTTCCTTTTCCTGCTGTAGCAAATAACCACAAATGTAGTGGCTTAAAACAGCACACATTTATCATATTACATGTTCTGGAGGTCAGAAGTCTGATGTGAGGCTTACTGGGCCAAAACCACATGAGCCCAGGGTCTATAAATTTATTCAGATCATTGTCTGTGTCCTTTCTTAGAGTTTTAAAGTTTTCTCCTTGGCGATCTTCTGGTATATTCTTGGTTGTTAATGCCTATATACTTTCATAGGGTGTTTTTTTTTTTTTGGTTTATTTGTGGGGTTTTTTAACCATTAGTTATTTTATGAGTTTTTGCTGGTGTACAGAAATGTTACTAATTTTTGTAAGCTGATCTCCCTAGCAACCTTGATGAAAATTTTCATTAGTTATAATAAAATCAAGCCTAATACTTTGTGGATTCTGTTGGTTTTATAGGTACCTATACATGAGCGTGTTATCTGCAAGTAATGTCAGTGTATCTCTTCCAGTCCTTATGCTTCTTTCTCTCTTTTTAAATTCCTCTTCTGCTTATAACTTCAGCCAGACCTCCAGGAATACTTTAAACATCGAAACCTTGTTTTCTATACCAGGGGTTGGCAAAGTATGGCTCATAGGCCAAATTCAGCCCACTGCCTGTTTGTACACAGCCCATGAGCCAAGAACACTGGCGATTTATGTGATACTAGAAACACTAAATTTTCAACCCCAGTTAAGCAAAATGTTACTCCAGAAAAGAATTCCATTCTTCTCATTAATAGACCCGTACTTTAAAAAAATTGTATTCAATATTATGTTTTGAATTTCATCAGAAAATATGGACATGTGTTTTCCTTATTACTGTATCAGTATCTACATAATATCTTCAATTTTGCCTCTTGGCTTACAAAGCCCAGTATATTTACTAGCTAGCTTTTAGAGAAGTTTGCCAACCCCCTTCTCTACACCATGCTCTTTCCCCTGAATGCCCTTTATTATAGCTATTTGTGCTACACTTTCTCCAAATAAACAAGTTTGTCAAATTGAAATCCTCAAAATGCCATCAATAAAGTGAGTATGAAATTATAGGATTATGGGATTAAGGAGGTATTTTCAAGTTGTCCTGTTGGTCCCCTTTAAGTCTCATGAATAACTTATACTTGAGTGGAGGAAATTTACGTAAGTGTCAAATAAACTTCCAGAGTAAATGTCAAACCAGGACACCCTGAGGTTATTGTGGGGTTTCAGGGACAACAGTGAAGACTTCCAAATCTCTATTCTTGGCCTCAGGGACAACAGTGAAGACTTCCAAATCTCTGTCCTTGGCTTCAAGGACTTTGTCACTTGATTCTCTTGTCCCAGGACAGAACTTGAGTTGAAACTATTTGCTCCTGGAGGCAGGCCCATCAGGACACTAGCTGTTGTTCTTAAAAATAAGCATTTCAGAAACATTGTTCTGTTGTTTTTGAAAAACGTATGATGTATCTGTTTTGGTTACTAGAATAATAGACAATTACTGGTGAACCACTTGGTGAAGAAAGATGAAAAACTGGAGTGCCAGGGAGTTCAGGAGAGCCTGGCCCCAGAAACAAGGGCTAACAGCAGTCATCCAGCCACCAGGATTCCTAGCACAACTCCCTTCCTCTTCCCATGCTTCTTTTAAACCTGAATCAGCTATGCACACAATTTTCCTCAAACACCCCATGGGCAAGCCCTTCCCTGGACCCTTGTCCTTGCTGCTTCCTTTGTCTGAAAAACTCATTCCCTGGATATCTGCACCTCACACAGAGGACTCCTCCAAACCCCAAGTATAAGTGGCACTCTTTCCCCACCTTTCTTGACTGGCCTCTGGTATTTATTTGTTGATTGCCTGGACCCACTCCCTCTGGAATGCAAGTGCAACGTAGTGGAGGAGTTTCTTCTGTTCGCTGCAGTATCCAGCGCTTGACACAGACAGCCTTTGCCTGCGCTTTACCGTTTCCCGTTCCCTCAAATGAGTGTGACTGATTTGATTCACAGACACTTGCAGTAGATAAATAGGAATCTCAGTGAAAACAGATAACTACGTTAGTGGTCTTCTTGTTCGATACAGATATTGCTATACCTCTTCCCCAAACCGACAGCTATACCCACACCCCCACGTTCCTTTACGGCCAGGTAATGATACGTGAAAGCTGCCCCCACCACTGTGTTGCTGCTCTCCATGCTCCCTCACTGTACTTTTTTTTTAAAATCTCAGCTCTAAAGCAAGGAATGTAATAAGAATCCATTAATGGCTTCCCTATCTGTAAATGGGGAATAATAATAATAGTAATTACTTAACAATAGATTGTTCTGAAGATTAAATTAGTTCATATTGCAAAACATTTAGAACAGTGCCCAACATACAGTAAGAACTATCTAAAGTGTTTGCTGTTACTCTTAACCTATTTCTTGATTCAGTTTGCTAGTAATTTAATTGTAATTTTTACATCTATCTCCATAATTTAGATTCATCCATAGTGTATTTTGATTGATTCTTATCAGGTTTTGATTTTAAGATAGTAAAATATTATCTTAAAGGGAGCTTTCCACCTGAAAATGGTTCAAATAGCTTTGGGAGGACCTGTTCCTTAGAGATTATTTAATTTATGGAGAATTTATCCATAAAACCACTGGGCTATCATCTTTAGTAACTGGTTTCTTCTAGTTTTGTATTTTTCTAGGGCTGTGGTATTTGTGTTGTCCACGGAAGAATTACGTTTCTCGTAGGCACGCTGAAGGTAGATGTGGTCCAGTGTCTTGCTTTAATCAGTGAAAAGTGAGCGGAAGTTCCATATGTCCTGGGCACCAAGATTTTTTAAAAAGCTCCCCAGGTGGTTCAGAAGAGCAGCCCAAGTTGAAAAAAGCGCTTAAGTAAGGATGGAATGGATTAGTTACTCGAAATATTTCTAAACTAGAATTCCAGAACTGGAGCCGCGGAGACGCCGAACAATGTTTTGCCTCAGCCGGGAGGCGGCCGGTGGGAGGGGAAATCGCAGACTGGTACCTTCAGATCTGCCCCCGTGCCCAGAGGAGCCCCAGAGAATGGCGCAGATCCCCTCACAGGTGGCCCCTCGAACGCCCATGACTCAGGCTCGTCTCCCTGCAGCGGGGAGAGAAGCAGCCGGCGGCGGGCGCCTTGGGGTGGGCAGAGGCGCTGATGCTGGGGCCGCGCCCCGAGGAAGATCGCGGGGGGCCTGGCGCCTCCTGGTGGCGCATCGCGCGCACCGCAGCCGCTGCTGCCCGGGCTCTGCAGCCTGGGCTGAGTTCAGCACAAGGAAGCCACGGGCCACTTTGGGAGGCCTCTTCCCGAAAGCCTGGCGCTCACACTGGCTTCCCGGGATTCTGTGTGGGCCGGACCGGAGAAGCTAAGTCAGCGCGGAGCATGGAGGGGAAGGCCGCACAACGGGGCTTTGGGGAGACGGGAAAGTATGAGGCTAAGGCCAGCCTCTGCAGGGAGGCTGGTGCAGATGCCTTTTAGAACCTGGGGATCAGGGAGGCCCCGGACCTCCCTGGTCTCCTGGAACACTCAGGAGTTGCAGAGCTTAGAATCAGGACCTCCAGGGGCCCGGTGTTGCAGAACCTGCAGACAGTGGGTGGTTGATTGTTCTCTGCTGCCTGCAGGTTTATTCGAGGTAGCCCCCCAAATGTTTGGGAACCAGGAACTTTGCCTACCAGAGCCCAGGGCCCACTCTGATAGGTCCAGAATCAGAATCTCAGAACCCGGGCCTGGTGGGGAACTAGCATCTGGCTGGAAGTGAGTGAATTGCTTTGGAGTCTTCCCATACACACGGCAACTCCAATGACTTTAGGAACTAAGAAAGTACCCCCAACTCCTTGTGCCCCCATAGTATCCCAGGGCCTCATCCAGCCTCCTCTCTGAGGCCAGCGGGTCTGTGCAGTGTGGGTAGGTCATTAGTTCTGTCCTCCAAATATAAGCATTTACAACTCAACATCAGAAATGAAAATCAGGTTTATGAAAGTCAGAGGTTTTGTGTGAAAATGCTGACTTGAGAGTTATCTGCAGTTGTTAATAGCTTTCTCAATGTGTAATTGACAATCAACTGCACATATTTAAAGTATAAAATTTGATGTTTTTACTTGGATCGACCCATGAAAACATCACCACAGTCAAGAGAGTGAGGATCTTCATCATCCTCAAGAATTTTCTGTCCATTGGTGTTCCTTTCCTGCCTCAGTGCCACCCACGCCCCAGGCAACCACTGGTCCGCTCCGTCTGTAGAATTTGCATTTCTGGATATTTATATAAATGCAGTCATCAGTTTGTACTCTTTTTTGTTGTTATACTTTCACTCAGCATAATTATTTTGAGATTCATTCATGTTGTGTTTATCAATAGTCTGGTCCTTTTGACTGCTGAATAGTGTTCTGTTGCACAGATTTACCGTAAACTGTTAACCCATATTCATCTGTTGGTGGACATTTGGGTTGTTTTCTGGTTCTTGGCTATTACGAATAACTACTGTGAGCATTCATTTACAAATCCCTTTATGGACACATGTTAACATTTCTCTGGGGTTACACCTAGGAATGGAATGGCTGGGTCATATAGTAGGTATATGTTTAATTTAAGAGGCTGACAGATATTTCTAGAGTGGTTGTACCATTTTATATTTCCTCAGCAGCGTATGAGAGTCCCAGTTCCTCCATATCCTCACCAGCTCTTGGAATTTTAAGTAGAAAAAAATTGTAATGTGTTACAAAGAAAACTTCCCAATGGTTTCCTAAAATCCAAGTAAAACACAAGAAATGCTTATACGAAATAAACAGTAAACTGTAATGTTGAGACATAAAAAGCTTAAAACATTGCTTTTTCATCACCAAAAACTTTGTGGGTTTTTGGGTTGCTTTGTATTCAGTAAGTCTGTCATACTTTTCTTAGAACCTCAGAGATGCACATCACTTTTGTTGATGATTTTGAAGTTCTACCAGTTGTATGTGGAATATAATCTAAGCTTTCCCCAGATTGTTAAAAATGTCACACTATATTTTTTTGAATGTAAACATAGGTTTCCCTGCCAAAGAACTGTCCCCCAAAACCATTATATTGAGAGATACAAGTATTCCATTAAGATTAGGGTATTAAAAA